AAAAAAAAAAAAAAAGCCCTCCTCGCGTCAACTTGCACACACCTCAAAAATGTTCGCCCTTCGACAAGATCCGCGCCGAGCCGCCGCCGCTGCTGGTGGTGGCGAGGCGGGGATGATGTGCGCTCACTGCTGTACTGCGTGCATTTCTCCTGCATTTTTTTTTATTTTTTATTTTTTTGGTAAATGCAACGTGGGTTTATGATTTGATCCAAGCGGGTGAAAACATGACTGTATTTTCAAGTTGCATTGCGTGCAGGTAGAGGTTTTTTTTTTTTTTTTTCCAAATCCCCCTGGTAGGCGCTGGACTTGCGGCACTGGGTGAAGCAGGTACCTGGAGCTGATTTGAAAAAAAAAAAAAAATCATTTCATAGCAGTCAATTTTTATGTAGGCTGTGCCCTATAACGCTGCAGCAAGGGGCTATAATAGGTCATGCTGTGTATGTATAATGTATCCATCTATCACAACAGTGATATTTTATTGATAAGTGTTGGTGTTATGATACCAAGGATCTATTTCAAATCATTATTCATTCATACAGTGAGTTATCCAGGGGAAATGATGGGGAGGGAAGGTGTTTTTTTGTTGTTTTTTGGTTTTGCAAGGAATCTGATAGTTAACGTGCTGAACTTGTGCTTTGAATGACTTTTCCATGATTAGCCTGATCTGTGGCTGCTCTGTTTTCCCTGTCACTAGGTAAGATGTAGGTACACTCCCTTAGCAGTTAGGGTGGTGCTGCCTGCTAGTGCTGATGTGTTACAGTGGCCACTACCTGTGCATGCAGTCTTGGCCTGGCTGTACATTGGGAGGGGTGGAGGGGGGGCTCCCTTCTTCCTTTCAGCTCCAGGAGGATGCTTCTTGGGTTGGGTGCTTGCTCAATAAAACTATGTGTTTTTTTTGTTTTTTTAAAAATGAAGTTGAAAGTAAATCCACCTTCCAAGTTGCGTGTTTAAGGCTGTGCGGTGAAAGTTGTCAATGGAAGCACATAAAAATGGATTTACAATGACTCAACTCTTCAGGGCGGTGATTATCAGCTAACGAATGGCCCGAGCAGCAACTTTTTACAACATCTGACCTTATTGTTTGTCCTCCTCATACAACAAAGATGCCACGTCCAGCGCCGTATCAGTGGCGTGCACGCGAGAATACGGTTGTGTTGTAGTTATTAATGGTAGTTTTGTTGTTGCTATGCAAAAAAGGGGCTCATGTGCCATATTTCCACTGCAATCATTTGAAGCTGTGACCTTGTCAAAAAAAAAAAAAAAAAAAAAGAGCCACTGTATGGTTCGCTCTGGTTCTCTCGGATGAAATTCTGTGTTAAAGGAAGCTACTTTTCCACACGAGTCCGTCCTCACTGAGCACGGCTGCTTCTGGATTTGGCTAATTCAAGAAGCCCTTGAGTTGATTTTTTGCTGCATTTACCACACTACCTATTCGCTCCACTTGAAGAGCCAGGAATAGTTGGAGGACTTATACATCAGAAGCCCTGATTCCAGCATGCTGATTTTTAATGTTATTTTAGGCTCTGCTCGTAGGCTCGTCTCGTCAGTGAAGTTCCAATGACATTAATAAATTGGCTTATCTATTTTTCACATGTGTTGTCCTTGAAAATATGGTCTCACACACACATACACGCACATACACACACACACAGCGTGGACTTAAAGTGGAGATTTTCTGCTGAGCTTCATACATGTGGACAGTATTAATTATCTGCAGGCTATAGGCTGATCTCAAGTGTTGCAGTGAATCATACTGAGTAAAATAAGCTCCCACACCGGGGGCAAGTCCTAACTGCAAAGTGGACAAAGTTATGGAGGGAGAATCGTTAAGGTCACCTTAAGGTCAAGAGGAGAAGACAGAATTTTCCAAATCATTTGAATGCAGTGATCCTTTATGTAATACATGCTTTGAATAGATGTGCAGGAAACAAACTTTTTGTGACTGTGTAGTTCAGAGCTGCAAAAAATTTACTCAGTTGGTTGATTGAAAGACAGATTTTTTTAAAGTATTGGTATTAGGGATTGATTGTTTCAGTCTTGTTTGCTGGTTCCAACTTCTTCTATCGATGGACTTTCTGCTTGTCTTTGTCAATTGTGATTGAAAATTAGATATATGTTGACTTTGGACTGTTGGCAGATTGAAACAAGCTTATTGATTTATGGATGATGAATCTATTAATCAGGAAAAATAATCAGACAGATCGCTTGATAATGAAAATGCTGGTTAACTGAGGTCTGAACACTGTCAATCTCTGTAAGTATTAACAGTTTTTAATCTAATTTAATGCCATCTGATGTCAAGACAGTTATTTTTATATTTTCCCATCAATACTCTGGGATTTCAACCAAATATCAATGAAAACAAGGGATTTATGTAACTTTAACATCTACTGAAATTGAATTGTATTTTCATTTCAAAGCAATGATAAAGTATTGCCCAGAAAAGAACTACAAATTAGTTTTTATTGGCTTTTGAGATAAGCCAGGGTCTGTCATTACTAACAAAAGTGACAAGTCGCATATGAGCTTATTTGAATGTACTGATTTATCAACAGTATGAAAATAGTGCATTTATGTTCAAGCACACCATGACAACAGGTATTCTGTCCTGATAACTCGAAGAGATGTGGAAAAACAACATTTTCAGTCCTATCTGCATATCTTTGGATCACATTCAGTTACTTTTGGTCACATGATCTGTGTACATAGTTTATCTGTTCATGAATTACCATGGAGTTGTAGCAGCTGCAGTTTCAGGTAAAGAAAGAAATTAAGGTGTTTGATCAAATCTGACAAAGTCTCGCCCAAAAACTTTAAATGAGTGGAGGTATGTAAGTCTATTTTAACACTAAAGTCTTTGATTCAACACTGTACTTGTCCTTTAAGTGACACCTTCACAATAGAAAATGAAAAGCAAGCCACTATTCAAGTCCAAACATGATTAGCCAAAATGCTAATGTGTGCAAAGCCTTTGATCACTGCGTTACTGTTTTATAAGCCATGCACTGTCATCTCCAGGCAGGACAGACTGTTATAGCCACTAATTAATATATCAGACAGGCAGGCCTGGTTGTGCATACACATGCACATGCAAACAAATGAACAACTAACAAGTGGAGGAACTTAACAGAGTAGACATTCAAATTTAGTTCAAGTAGTCATAAAACATTGTTCTTTTTTTTTTTTAAAACTACTTGTTGCTGTATATTTAGAGCTGAAATGAATAGTTAATTATGAGATGAATCCATTAATAAACAAAAATGAGTCTACATCAAACTAATCATAAGCTATTATGATATTGGATTAGTTGTTTAAGACTTTTTATGTACAAAAATGCACCAGCTTCCACTTGTACATTCTGAGGATTTGATGTTTTTCCTCATTTTATGAAATGTAAATGTAGTATTTTCAAGTTTTTGACTGAAAACTAGTAAGTGAGGGATGAAAGTGTGATAGACACATGACTGTTTCAAGACAATAATCATCAGAATAAACGATTATTCATCATCACTTGAAATTCCAGTTATATAACATCTGAAACACCTGGAAGTAATTTGCTTTGCACCATTTATTAAAGGAACCGTCACTACAGTCGGAGAGAGTCGCTGAAAACACAAGAAATAGCTGCTTTGTTGTTGGAAAGTTTTGGTTTGGTTGGTTTTGGCTGATGCTATTCTTTTTATGTATGTTTTTTTTTAAAAACTATTTTCAGAAATGTGTGATAAAATTGTAAATGTAGAAAGTAATACAAGTTGGGACTGTGTTGCATTATAACATCGAATCTTAGCGATATATAAAAACAAACGAGCTTTTGTTAGTTGAACTTTTCCTTTCAGTTCTATTCAAAATGTAATGTTCATTGTAGTTTTTTTTTGCTAACTTGGCAAGTCAGACATCAACTTTGAACATAGATTTTATGAACCAGGGACTGAATCACTTTAATTACAAGTAGTAAATGTACCATTTCCCCCCCCAGTGTCATCACGACATAAGAAATACGAGCAACTGAAGCACTTACAACACACATGAGAAGCACACGTTATGTGAAGTATCTTCTATAGAATATTCCTTTTTTCCTGCATTTGTCAACACACAGGTTGTTTGCAGCTGTATTAAGTTAGGAAAATGGCAAATAAACGATGCAGCGGTAAGGATTACTTATGTCTGCTGAGGTATTAAATCTCCTGTTTTTGCTTAATGTTGGAGAATTTCTTGTATGTATGTGCAACTGTCTGTTAGTGACAGAACAGCATTTTATGTCCGCATGCACAGATAAGCGAATCTGTCCAAATGCTGCACCGAGTGTCTGGAGAACAATATGTGATTGTCATGACTGATGACGAATGTTCCACCTAGAACCTGCCTGTATTGAGGCTGAATCACCTTTTCCACTATGCTGCTGTCTGACAAAGGGTAGAGTAATCATTATGTAGGCAGTGGCTTAACGGGATAAGAGCAACTCTCAATCTAGCAATTCTTCTATTAGACAATGGCTTTAGACACTTTGGAAAGATGATAAAACGTCTTTGGGTGGAACAAAGGGTGTGGCTAATAACACGCATTTTCTGGTTTCTCCACTTGGGAGCGATTTGTCCGATTTTCAGACAATTGAACGGAATTAGACTGCACTACGGAATAAAAATAAATGTTGTACCTTTATAACTTTAGCTGTGTGTTCCAGAGTTGCAGGATTACGTGTGCACAAAAGACCGTGTTATGTTTAGCACATGCTCATGTTTAATTTAAGACAACACATAGCACGTGCAGAATAAGTAGCACAATCTTGAAAGGGAACATTTGTTCTCTGAGATCAGCTTTGAAAATGACACATCCTTGGTTTAGGTGCATGCAGAAATAATGTGTTACCTATTCCCTCCCCTGTCCTCTCTTTAGTGATGGCCTCTGCTGAGCAACCGTGCTCCAGCTTCCACCAGCAGCACTGCGCATAAGGCAACACACCCACCTTTGCCCTCCTGCCCAGAAGTGAGAGAGACACCACCATGTACAGTGTGGAGGACCTCCTCATTTCGCACGGATATAAATTGCCCAAGAGCGGCCCTCCGTCTGCCACGCCTTATGACAAGCGCCCTGCTGATTGCCAGCGTGAACTCGTGGACAACAGGGCTGGTCGGGGGACACTGAACGGGTATGAGGCGGACCGGGGGGCATCTATCACAGGCATCTACGGCAGCAGGCAGGCGCTGGTGAAGGGCTACCCCACCACGGACAACGAGTGCGGGGAAAGAAACCAAAGGAGAAAAGAAATCGGCATCGGTATCCTAGGTGACGCTCAGCCCTTGGGTGATTCTCTCGCCACGGATAGTGGGTGAGTGGGGTTTTTTTTTTCCCTCTCTTTTGCGATCCCCCACACCCTTTACCTTCCCTTTTTTTTCTCCTCTCCCCCCTTCTCACTGGGGCCCTTCAGTATTGCATGCAAAAGTGAGTCTGCACTGCGCAGGGTTTTTTTTTTTCTCCTCCTCTTCCCTTCCCCTCCTTCCAGAGCTGCAGAACACTGTGGCTGCAGCAGCACTACTGACATATCTTATGCTGGGATATGAGGAATTATGAAAGGTGGCTTTGCGCTCGTTTGAGTTGTTTACATGCTTGCGCAGAGACATGGCTCGCGTCTCTGTGGAACCCACCCATGCACCGGTGTCGTCTCCACAGCCTCGACCAGGCAGGCAGATGTAAACAGCAGCACTAGACAGTGAGCAAACTGAGGAGGACTGAACATGCCTCAAGACAGGCGCGTAATCACTCCACTGTAAACACTGGCACACTGAATCACGCCCAGCACGTGCTCTGTGATGTAAGCATGTTGCTGGGCAAGTGTGCACAGCGCGGCTCCCCTCAACCATACAGTAGCATATGCTGCTGAGGATGATCCATTGACTTTGCTGCTTAAATGAATGAGTACAATGACTAACAGTGATTTAGTGCAGTGCGGATATTAGATGGAGCTCTTCAAAAGGGCAGTTGTAATTCAGCCTTTTTTCAGTTATTAGACTGCACATTTTAGAAACTTACATTGTAATACGTATTTAGATTTTTATGGCTACACGTGTATGTTTTCTTTTAACGGCACTGCAAATCACTGAGGCTGTTTTGTGTTATGAATCAACTACACTGGGAAAAATGCAATCACTGATTTATTTTATCTGAAAGATTAGATGGTTATATTTGAATTTCAACAAGCATTTCAAACCCACACTCCCTCTCTCATTATACTCGACTGTCATCGGGGTGGCTTAAAACGTGCTTGGATGTGACTGATGACCTGGGGATATTCATGGAAATCACAGTGTTTCCTCTGCTCCAACACAGCAAGAAAATTATGAGGGCTGCGTTAGAAAATCAGAAAATTAAAATTACAGTGTAATTGGACAAAATGACCCTTGTGAGCACAAAGAAAAGCAGCTCTTTTTTTTTTTTTCCCCCACTGGAACTATTTAGTATGCCATATCTAAAATAATTGTTTTGGCATATTCAACATGCATTACAGCCATATGCTGAACCTAAGAGGTAAATATGGAACCATAACTAAAATTATCTCCAGGCAGCACTGCTTTATCAGGCTGTAGTGGAACCACTGTCTTGGACCTGCCAACAATAACTCGTCACACAGTTGCCATTTTACATTAGTTTCATCAAGCACTTTTAAAATTACAGGATTGCGTTTGATATTACATTTTTTTCCCTAGCAACAATCAAAAAGGCACTCCTCTGCTGATTTTCTCCTGAGTTGCACACAGTAAAGCTGAATTGAAGTTCATTCTTTATCGCATGTATTGCTTAATGTTTATTGTAATGCTGTATTTACCAAAAAAGGGCAGTTTTGATCTTGAGGTATGTGATGAAATAAACGTGGTAAAGAAACACATCTCAGGCAATGGGATGTTTTACTTAGGCTTTCTTTAACAGCCACAGTTGCTGTCCAGATGACCAGCTTCCAAGATAAGGTCAGCACAATTTAATATGCAGATCATATTGCAGTAGCATCACAATTTCATGGTGTCTTCAAGGGACTTTGGAGCCGCTGACTTAAGCACTTCTGTCTCATATGTGCTGGCTCTCCTTGATTAAGTTGTGTTGGAAAGCCAATACTGCCAAAGCCAAAACACATGCTTGGGTGTGGAATGGACATGTCACTTTTAATGTTTAACAATGATCAAATCCCAAAAGGATGGCACTGGTTTATTACACTACCATAGAAACTGAGATAATACTATTTGGGATATGTTTTGTTTTTATTTTTATTGTGTGTCTAAACCTAATAACTGTGTGTTGGATGTTACTCATCTTACAACTTCTGTAACAAAAGAAAAATTGTGATATGAGTCAATGAAGATTTAGTCCCCCTCACTGTCTTTCTGTCACACTGTGACTGCCTTATTAACGCTGATCTTATCATCTTTTAGGTTCTACGATGTTCCTAGTTTGACTTATTCAGAGCCACTGAGCCATGATGAGAGGGATGTTTCCTACTGGCGGAGGCGAGGCCAGGACTTCAGCATCCTTCTGGACTACGCTGATGGCAGGGAGCTGAGGGCCTCTGCTGGAGCATGGAGGCCACAAGCCCTGATCACAGCAGAGGAATACAGGGCAGAGAGGCAAGCGCAGCAGCTATGGGAGGACATTTCCTGGTTAAGGGACCCGGACGCAGGCCCTGGTCAGCTAAGGGTGACTGGGGAGAGGAAGTGCCAGAGCCTTGGTACAGAGGAGTGGAGGCCTGCTGTGGGCCTGGGGAGGCAGCTGTCAGATGGGGATGGGGAAAGGTGGGCTCTGGAACAGTACCGCCTGAGGACACCTGAAGGGTTTTTTCACCCTAGAACTAAAGCAAAGTCTCAGTCTCTCCCCAGAGTTTTGTCACCTGATGGAGGTGACGGCAGAGAGCTCATTCTATCGAGGCCTAGCCTACCTGATAGACAACAGCGGCTAAACAGCACTGTCTTCTCTGGGCCGTACAGTAGGTACATCTATGGTGGTGGCAGGGACCGTTGGGGAAGGAATCTTGGGCCAAGCAGCCATGTTGCACTTTTACCAAAGCCCAGGTTTAGTAGGCCTTTAAAGCCTCCGTCATATGAGATTCACCAGCAGACTAGGGGTAGCGCAGAAATGCTTGCTATTGACCAGGGTGCCAAACAAAAAGACAGGTCCATCTATTATCCAAGGGGTGGGGAGCTGAGACAAGACTATTTCGCACAACACTCTGCCATCTCTGGAATGGAGCCCCCTGGCTACATCCCACCCCCATCTTATAAAAGAGCCCTACCCCCAAGAGCAGTTTCAATCAACCGCAATGAAATGGCAAGCTTTAGATGGAGGGCAGAAGCTTTGCAGATGCCCCATTCAGATCCTGGAAGGTGGCTTTCTAGACAGGCAAGTTGCTCCTGGCTGGAACATTATGGAGAACGTGCTGCATCCTATCGAAAACAGGTAAGCTCTGGACATGAAGAACAACCAGGTCATGGCCGTCAATTACCTACTGAAGACCCAAGAGTGAAGCAAATCTCAGGAGGGCCTAGCGGGAATTCTCTCACTGACTCAGACAAGATCCGTAACATCAACAAAGAGATTCCGTCCGCTAAGATTTTAGGACAATCTACACATGATAGTGCCTTTCCTCCCCAACAGGGGCCAGCTCTCAATACTGAAACCCGCAAAACAGCTCTCACTGACAACGACAGCAGTAGTCGATGGTGCAACAGGGGAATCAAAAAAAGTGACAGTGTAGCTCCTGAACAAAATCGTAGTCAGTTTTTTCCTTCATCTATTCTGGGTAAACCACCACCACCCCCATGTAAGCCGGCTGACCAGGGTGTCTCTGAAACTGTGACAGAGGTAAAGAAGGTGGAACAACCTGAACCACCAGAGAAAGACAAATCCAAGAATCTAAAAAAGAGACTTAGTGAAACAATTTTTTGTTTGGTGTCTGTCCCTGTTACTCCGCAGCTCACTGGGACAATCCGTGATCAGAATAACAATAATGAGAAATCACCAGACCCAGCGGACAGTCCTAGTGACAACAAAACTGGCCATTTAACAAACCAAAGTCTCCAAAGCACATCTTCAGCTGAAGCTGAGCTGCAAGCACTGACTGGTAGCATAGCGAGCAGCAAAACAAGCAGTAGAGCGAGCAGCAAAATGTTCAAAAAACTACCCTGTAGACCCCCTAAGATAAATCATTACAAGGAGCTGAAGCTGTCGGGATCCTGGCCTGCAAACCAGTATCGAGACCAGGAGACACAAACCAGCCCAGAGGCCCGAAAACCTGCCCCTGAAAACAAGGAAGCACAACAAGACCCTGTTCCTCCTGGCACTGAAGGCGCTCCTGATAGCAGCGGTGTAGTGGGCACTGCCTTCAGTTTTCCTATAAAGGGAGTGAAGAGCCTGAAATTGTCAAGCAACAGCGCCTTCTCCCTGACCTCCACCTTCTCCAACCAGCTGAACAAGAGCACAGCTCAGCAGCCAGCAGTACCACCCTCAGGAAATGTGGAGGAGACCAAACCAGCAGCAAACAGCGGGCAGGAAGCATTTGAACAGTTCCTACTAAAACCGATCACCCAGCGACCATGGGATGCTGTCAAAGAGCTGGAGACCATCAAAAAAGAAGTCCAGGAGCAACAGCAGCAGCAGAGCAGCAAACAACCCAGTGTTGACAAGTGCATAGAAGACCTCAATGAGGCCTACAAGGACATCTTGGAGCTAGGCACTGCCAGCAATAAAGTCCCAAATGGTTCTGTTCAAATCCCTGAGCGAATCAAAATCCGATTGACATCAGAACCTCTCAACAAGCCCAGCAGCCTTAGGCGCAGTGCAGTAAGCTGGTCTGTTGACCCAGAATACAGGGAAGTGAAGAGCGCCTTCTCCAGGCCTGCAACAAAATCGGTAACCTTCAGCAAGCAGCTTAGAGAGGAGCTCCCGGTCCCACCTCGGGAGACTGGCTTCAGAGAATACAGGGTTGTGGCTCATCTTTCGCGAAGACGGAGCAACGACGGCAGGACAGTGAAACTAGACCTGCCAGATGAGCCTATCGAGACACCGCTTTGTGACTTCAGTCCGACAACGAACACCACAGCAGCTGAGGTGCCGTGGGCGGATCGACAGCCCATGCAGGATGCCTCTACGCTCACTAGTCCTCCTGATTATGAGGACATTTGCCAGACTTTGCGTCAGTCTAGAGACCCAGCGGATGCCAATAAAGCGTCCGCAGGCAGACCTAATGACACAGAGCCTCTTCAAGATATCGGTGTTGAATCAGAGGAGGAGTGCCCTATTTGTAAAAGAGAACTTGAGAATCAGATGAGACAGGGTCCATTGCCTCCACTTCACGAGGAGAACAGCTCAGACAGCTCGACCAATCAAAATGGCAGTCCACCACAACACGCAGCGTTGGAAAGCCCAGCTGAAGATACAAAAGCAGAGGAGCCGAATGAGTCTAGTTTGAATCAGTCAGGGTCTGAACTGTGTGCTGAAACAAGGGAGCAGGATTCACTGACACAGGAAAATGTGGGAGAGAGTGAAAAAGCAGAGGATGCTCAGGCAGAAAACTTGAACAGTTTATGTACAGTTGATTCTGCCGAGAGCATACCAGCAAATGGAGCTACAGAGGATCTCTCCTCTGCATCCACAGTGTTAGCAACTGATCTGCCTACAGACCCCCAAGTCACAGATGAACAGAGTGCTAGTGAAACAGTAGCTAAGGAAGTAGAATTAGAAGAGAAGGAAGCCACACCTGAAGGCAGTGCAGACAAACAGACAGCTGAAACGAAATGTGAGGGACTAGACAATACAATGCCTGATGACAAGCAGGAGCAAGATAAGAAGCCATTTGCTGTCCCGGAGCACAGACTTGCTCTACGGACTCATCTGGGGCGAGACCACCCAGGGTTACCAGAGTTTCCGCCAGACAGACTGCCACTTTCAGTTCCCCCAAACCTGGACCGCAGACTATCTCTTAGCTTGGAGGGGGAGAGGAGGAGCAGGGGGCCCTCCCATCGAATCGAGGCGTTGCAGAACAAGCTGGCGATTTCCCCAGGTCGCGTGGCAGTTGAGCGAATGGCCCGGATGAGGGAGGTGGATGTTATGTATCGTATGAGGCGCCTGAGCATCAGGAGTACTGACTCTGGGGAGGGGGAGGCAGAGACAGAGGGGGAGGCAGAGGGGGAGGGCAAGGAGGAACAAGCGGAGGAACGAGTGGAGGAGCTCCACCCTGCTCCTCAGGGAGACAAAGAGAACAATCAAGAGGTCACCCATTCACAGCAGGTCTCTGAGGAGACAGTGTTGCAAGATGAGGAGGAGTCATCTCTCTCAGGTAAGATAACAAAACTAGGAAATTAATCTTCAGGGATATTTGAAAAGAGCGTCAAATTTAACGAACCAACTGTACAGCTTTACAAACTTATCCACATTTCAAAATTATCCAGGGTAGTATTTAACATAATGAATGTATTTCCCGTGTGGTTCCTGGCCCACACAGATTTGGAAGACCATATTCAGAAGAAAAAGGAAAATATCAACACAGCCGCTTAAAATATTTGTTCAATGCAACGTGCAATTTCCCTGTTGCTATCCACTGATTTATTATGCATGCTTCAGGACGACTGCAGACTAAACCACAAGAGTACATGATAATTTTATTTAAATGCTGAAAGATGTATGAGAAAGTGAGGCATCCACAGGAAATTCTAAGCATACAGCTATTTAGAGAACAGTCATTTTTATGCTAAACAAGTCAATTTGATCAAAATTGAGACATCAAACTGTTTAAGACAGATAACTGAGCCTCATGTTTACTTACTGACTGTTTTTCATGTTGTGTGGGCATTTTTGTCACCCATCGTAAAATTCCAAATTTACAAGATAGCCTGTTGTCTCATGTAAATATGGGAGCACAAGAGAGCGTGAAATTTTATAAATGCATTGTGACAAATTATCAAAACTGAAGAAACTGTCAGTGGGCCTTGTTGTTTAACACCTCTCCACAAGATGGTGTCACTGCCCAAACATAGTGGAAGTTTTGTGCCCTCAGGAAATGATCAAGTGTATGTCTAATTTTTTTCACTGTTCTATCAAAAGTGAGTTATTTTTGACTGTGATAGATATTGTAGCTTAATGCTCTTTGTCAGATTAGATCATTTTGCTGCTGACAATGTTAGATTAAAAAGCATACACTTTTGTAAATGAATATTTTTCTTCTTCACGTCCCAGAACCCCATGATCCCAGCCGAGGGGAGACAGTGTAGAAAGACTGCGTCCATCATCTCCATCTGAGGTTTTTAGCTCCAACACTGTGACCTGGCTGCCTACTAGAATGCCTTCATCTCATCTTGACACTGAAATGGCCTTCTTGTCCGACAAGAGCATTGTGTACACCCTCACCCTCGGCGCTGCGTTGACTACTAAGAGTGCTGTTCCACTGCCAAAGGGAGGTGCCCCCTTTAACTTGTGGGGCAACTTCCACCCCGAAATCCCTCCCCAGCCTTCCCAAACTGACTTCCCACTACCCCATCTGTCCTCCATGCCCAGGCCCATCCTCTTATAGGGTTTCTACTAGTTAGTCTTCTTGTAGCGGCTTGTCCTTTCTATTCTATCCTCCCTATGCTTTTCTCATTGGCAGACATTATGCAATTGTGTCGTGCATACTAGAACTTCGAGAACGTACCTTTTTTCGCACACTGAACGAATCTGTTTGTTTACGGGCGAGCTGTTAAGGACATGAATGTAAGTGTTTATGTTTAATCTAACGTAGTCATAGAAGGGTTACTGTCACAAACCTGTTCTGTTGCATTTAAACTACACCAAAATAAACTGCGTATCTGATTGTGGTGAGGCGACAGCTGTTTTAGAACTGGACATCACTGTCTTTGGCTAAAGAACTGTTTTGATTTTCAGATGAGATAAATCAGCCTTTCTTTTTTTAAAATTTACACAACATCGTGCCCTCTCTCATTGCTTTTGTACACACTGCAGTCATAACCCATAGAGCTCTTCAGTGAAGAGTGACTCTATACCACATGACATGATAGATCAGCGACTTATTATAAGGTATATTGGTTCTACGCTGGAGCGGGAGAGTTGCCTTTCTTAACCAGACGTGTAATTCCTGGTCGGATCAGGTGAAGTCTCTGAATAGTCCCCTGATCAATTCGATGTATAGCTCCCATTTCCAGGTAATTTCAGGAAGCAATAAAGGCACAGGTTGAGTTGAAGTGGTGGTCAGCAACTTTGATAAACATTACAGATGGACATAGGGATATATATTTAAAAAAGGAAAAAAAAAAAAAAAAGATACGTAGAGCAATATTGTTGTACAAACAGCTCAGTGGTGTAGTGGAGCTACCTGTAGGAACCATTGTCAGGAGTCTTAATGTGAACATGTCATTCAGATCATATTACAGGGAAATGGAATCGTGTCAGGGTATGTGGGCGCTTAACAGGGGGTGGGTGCTTTACTTCATGGTATATATCTATGTTCATACATCTGTATCGCAAAGAGACATTTCACGAAATATTTATTTTTGTTATCATCGAATTGTTAATCAGTTTGCATAATGTACAAAATAAAGTATATTTTAAATATTTTAAGAGAAATTTTGTATTTAACCATGAAGTTTTATTTCTCCTCACTTATATCAAGCTGAAGGTATCATATGTGTGTATAGTATCATACTCAGAGTATACATAATTTTCTAGTGCTTTAAAATTTTACAGAGCGATATAAGGAAGGGATGGCCCTGCGGTGTGCCTTGATCACACGATTCGGTTTCGGTGAGCGATAGGGTTCATCACTGCGAGAGTTGACACGATGGGAACTTTTTGATTGTGCCATGATTTCCTATTTGATAGTGCTTTTTTCATACGCTAACAGAGTCAATGTGGGACGCTCCTTGTGATATTTGACACATCAGTCCATCTCCGCTGTATATCCTATGTTGATGGTCACACATGACCTGTGTCTTATTTCTGTCTTTTGTATGTCTTCCAATTCAGACCATGTATTGTTCTGTTGTTGGTTCCTCGAAACATGTTTAGAAATAAAATTGGGAATTTTTTCTTTTCCTTCCTACCACCCTTCCCTCTTTTCCTCTTCCTCCTAACTTCCCTCTTTTCTTTCTCTGTTTCTCTCATTCCACGGCGTGTTCATTTTGTGTAAATTGTTTTGCTGTCACCAACACTTACTGTACCTACTGAAGCATACGATGCATTATGCTATTTTAGGCTAAAAACCACATATCTGCAAAAACATTACAGACAGATTAAAAATAATGCAGGTGTTTTTAGTGCATTTTAAACCTAAAGCTTCAATTAAAATAAGTTTGCAGTTACGTGGTTTTTCCACAAAGCACGGTTGCATTGGTGTAATGTATCAACAATGGATCTGAAGGACTCCATCACTGTTCAATCATGCATTAAGTACCACTTAATTGTTATGTAGCATTTTACAGTTGTAGCATTTCTCAACTCAGAACTCTGTCTTGGTATTTCAGACATTTCTTGTAAATTTGGAAGAATCATGTCGCCTTATTGCGTGTGCATTACATTATACTCCAGGAAATGCCAAATATTAACGTACTAAGCACTGTTTCATACCTTAGGTTTTTACAAACAACTTACTGTTCTGCCATCCCTCTGGCTGGAGAGGTACAGTAGCATTGTGGATAGTTTCTGCTCTTCATGCTGTTTATCTGTAGGAACATTGAATCAAAACTGTGAGCTTCAAATTACACACACACAAAAAAAACACAATTATAAAAAGTACAGGATGAGATTCAGTGTTTCAAGGCAGGCCCATAGTCAGCATCACAGGGAGGACAAGCTGGCGCGCCCATAATTACTAACACATCTCATTTTCAATTCATTTTGAAGACTGAAAGGCCTCGCCTCGGTCTTGTGAGTAAACTGCCCCTGACGACATTTAAAAAGCTATTTCAGTACATACGCCCCCCCAATAATTGGCATGTCAGGTACACTTGAACGTAGTGTCATTTGACTTTTTGTACTGCAGGTTACGTGCAACATGAAGTAATTATGCACACTTGTAATATTTTCTATTTTCATATGAGATTTAAGTGCTTTTTGTACTCACGGACATCTTTTTTTCTTCCTTGCATGAAATGCAAGAGAGAGGAGGAAAAAAAATGTTTTTCATAAAGTATATTTGCATTTGGTACTCCAATAGTAAAACCAGTGGGCAAAACATTATGTTTCATAATTTAATTTACAAAACTATGCCAAGTATTTAAAAGCTATTTTTAGAGTAAATCAAAAGAGAACTCATTCATTTTTTTCTTTAAGACATGCCTTTATCTTTGTATCTATAAATATGAGCATAATCCATAGTCATATGATTGTGCTGCTGTTGTATGACACTGCAGTCTGATTCATAAATAAACTCTTTGCATGAAAACTGTGTTTGTGATCAATTGCTGTTTCATATACTTTATGTAGGAACTCTGGATATCCACTGGAGAAAGTAAATATGTGTTTTTTCTTGTAGATATTTTAGAAATGCGTAACACCCTCTGTTTAAAATGTGTAGTATTGTATTGGAAGGACACAAAGAGGCAAGACAAACATAAACAGTAGTAAACTGCAAGTTCAGCAGGAATGCCGTCATAGCTACTTTCATATTTTTCAAAGCACAGAGATTTCTTTTTCAAAGAGTTGACTTCAGTTCTTTCAGAAATATTAAGGCGACAGAGAGCGAGCGTATGTGCCCAAGTATGTGTGTGTTTTCACACATGTACACTTGTGTACTGGCAATTTTAGCCCAATTACCCTGCCAGACTGTCACACTGCGCTCCACTTGCTGGATCAAAGCACTGGCAAAGACAATGCTTGAGCTGAACCTTGTAAAAACCTCCCAGCATGCTCTCTGTGGCTTGGAGGGCATCCATCCTCTTCAAATTCCTCTGTGTGCCATCTTCTTCTAAAAGCAGAGGGAGAAGCCACATTAGCACTACCTCTTATGTGATACTTTATTGATCCCTATATAGGTGAGCGGTCTTTTCACTTCACTCCGAGTGTTTTGCTTGTGGGCATTTTGGCAGGTGCTCTGAGACAGCAGGTGGAAACACTCAGGGTTACATAAGGCACATGCAGCTTCTGTCAGTGATGGTGAACATATTTAAAGTGCAATATTTAGCTTCATTATGTCAGCACAGTAATGGAAAGGCTGCATGAATGAATGATCACATGCACGATAGCAATGAGGGCTTAATTATAATGACAAAGATAAATGCATAAATGCATGCAGAAACCAAACAGTTCATTCTATATCCACAATCTGTCTTTATTTCATGTCATATTTTAAGCCACATAACTGATTTATGAACATGTAGACACACCTCTGGATCACATTAAAATTAATGAACACTAATGAGACATTAATTGCACATTACCTGTGATCACATAACAGCTAATTAAGAACTACATCACATTTCTTTTATGAAAAAAAAAAAAAGGTAAAGCTTATTTTAATTTAACGTGAAAAAACGTGAAAGTTCACCATTTTTTAGTTCGCTAGAAAT